TGGTATTGATGTTCTGGATTTCTATCTGTAGATTTTATACCATTTCTAAGTTTTCATTTATTTTGTCATTTTGTTCTTGAACTGTCTCCCAAGATTGTTCTAGGGTTTTGTCTGTGTTTTCCTTAATTTTTTCAGTGTTTTCCTCGATCTGTCTCTCACCCCATTGAAGGTACCTAAATATAATTCTTTTGAATTCCTTATTAGGGAGTCCCAATACTGCTTCTTCTTCAGGGATATGTTCTGGGTCTGTATCCTGGTCTTTTGTTTCTACTGCTTTATCTTACTTCTTTGTGGGGACTCTGATGGTCTGTTGTCTCTGGGACATTGTAACATTGTTGTATTTATATTTAATTAGTGATTGTATGTTGGAGTGATTCACCCAAGAATTTAATTTTCTTCATTTTGTTTGGATATTATCTGAGTGAGTAAGGTACTGTGCTCCTGTATTTGCTAGTTGGCAGCACTTATGCACTCACTACCTGTCCTGGTGGGTGTGATAGAGAATGAGAGTGGGTGCACAGATATCTGTTAGCTGTTTGTGAAGAGCAGTTGAGGGTGGGTCAGGCTTGTATTGGCTGTCATGTATCATTGGCCAGTTGGTGCAGAAGCAAGTGGTGGCCCTCACTCAGGTGGGGCTACAGGAGGTGCAAGTATGGTTGTGTTGTATGGTCATGGTTGCTGTCTCCCACTCAGACAAAAACAACAATAAAAAAAAAAAAAAGTAAAAGCAAGGACGGAAAACACACACCACACAAACACACGGGAACAATCCTCCCTACCCCCAAAAGAGGAAAGGCAATAAATGATATGAAATATTTAAAGAAATATTTTAAAAAGACAAAAGAAATATAAATAGAAAAAGAAAATAAAAACTCACAATCTCTGTGGAGGGGGGAATAAGAGAAAAGAGCTAGAGTAAGAAAAATGAGGAAAAAAAATGGGAAAAATGCAAAAAGAAAAACAAGTGATGGAGAGAACTACAAGAAAGAAAGAAAAAAAAAAGCAAAAAAAAAAAAAAAAAAAAACAACAACAACAAAAAGCACAGAGAACCAGGAAAAGGGAAAAGGGAAAAAAGCTCCAAACTAGATCCTGGGAAGAAAAACAAACAAAGAAAAAATAAAACAGAAAACCCAAACCTGGGGGCCTGGGGCTGAGCACCCAGGCTCCACTGAGCACACAAACTGGGATGGAATTCTTGCTGGTCCAAAAGGTAGGTGGAGGTGAGGGATGGACACACCTCTGTTCACCACGTGGTTGTGGGGTATAAGAATAGGAAGGAGAATATTGCACCTTTCTAGTTGTCAGCCTCTGGTAAGTTGCTGCTGTCCTTAGCAAGTGGAACCTATTCTTTTAAGTCCCTGGAATCTGAAAGAATGCTGTGGCTTTAACTATACAAAATGGTTGAACTGCTTGTAAACATTGAAAATGGCTGTGCCCTCCAGACAGCCAAAAGTCCACAGTTCAGTTTGTCTCCTTCTTTGCTGTTTCCCATCAGTGCAGTTGTTCTTACAGCCCTTGGTGAGCAGGGCTGATATTTAGGCTAATTCTCAGGCCCTAAAACTACTTGAAAATATTCAAACTGTCCATGCTGTCAGGATAGCTGACAGTCCACAGCTCCGTTTGTCTCCTTATTCACTGTTTTCATTAGATTCTTCTTCTAGTTGGTGTTTAATTCACTTCTGTATTCTTCCTGTCAAAACTCAGAGCTCCAGGAATATCATCTGTATCTGTGTCAGTTGCTTTCTCTTTTCTTTGTCGAAATGGTTCTGTGTAGCTTGTCTCTCTATTCCACCATCTTACCAGAAGTCTCTATCCATATCACAGTTTATTAATGAATTTTTCTCCAAGCCTGATGCCATGTTCTTCTTCATATAGTCCAACTTCTTGGATTATTTGCCCAGGAGACATATTCAATAAGTATGGCAAAAGGATACAACCTTGACACACACCTTTCCTGATTTTCTTTTCTTTTGATTGTGATTTGGGTAAAAATTTAGAGAGCAAATCCATTCTCCATACAGCAGTTCATACATATTTTCCTTCATTACATTGACTGCAATTCCCTACAATTCAACAGCTCTCTTCCAAGTTTCTCCCTGTAGTTACCTCTTCCCTATGTCCTTCTTTCCTATGCATTCCTGCACCTGAACTATCTCCCTGTGCAAACATTGTCCTCTGTTCTCCTGTGATTGATCATTCTAAGGAATGTATCTACCTGGTGCAAATGTTCACCCTATATGCCTATCTATTGTTTGGCTGGAAGGTATGGGAATGAGTTGGACCATAGTCTTGGGGGTCTCACCAGGCTCTATAAGATCAGTACTTTTTTTTTTTTTAAATGAATTTGAGTTTTTCCACATTGTTCTTCCACTCTGTCCAGGACCTACACCTTTCCTGACTTAAAGCCATGCAGTATCCCCTTATTCTATTTAAGTGACTGCTTCTTGGTTTAGGTACAGTTTCTTCATGAACACAATTATGGGTTCTGGAATTTCCATTCTTTGCAATGTTATCCATAATTTGTTATGATTCACACAGTCAAATGTCCTTGCATAGTCAACAAAACACAGGTAAACATTTTTCTGGTACTTTTTGCTTTCAGCCAAGATCTATCTGACATCAGCAATGACATCCCTCATTCTACATCCTCTATTGTCCTGGCTTGAATTTCTGGCACTTCCTTGTCAATATACTACTACAACTTTATTTTTTGAAGTATCTTTAGCAAAATTTCACTTGTGTGTGATATTAATGATAATGTGGATATAATATCCACATTCTATTGGATGACCTTTCTTTGGAATGGGTACAAATATCCATCTTTCAGTTGGTTGACCAGGTAATTATCTTCCAAATTTCCTGGCAAAGATGAGTAAACACCTTGAGAGCTGCATCCATTTGTTGAAACATCTCAATGGGTATTCTGTCAATTCCTGGAGCCTTGTTTCTCATCAATTCCTTCAGTGCAGCTTGGACTTCTTCCTTCAATACCATTGCTACCTCCTGAAATGATTGTGAGGGCAGGATCATGCAAATAATGTATATGGAATCCTAATGAAGAGATGTGTCAAGTTTGCCATTTCCCACTAGGCTTAAAATGAACCATCTCAGAGGCATAAAGGGATGATTTCACTACCACCAAGAAAGAAGAGTATGTTACCTGGATTCCTGTGCTGAGAACCTCCTAGGTCCGGAGACAGAGCAACAGTAAGAGCGAGAGCAAGAGTCAGAGTGAGAGAGAGAGTGAGAGGAAGCAAGAGAGAGAGAGAGAGCCAGAGAGAGAGCGAGAGAGAGTTATAACACTGGAGATGAGAGATGGCAAGGAGATGAGAGACAGTGAAGAGATGAGAGACAGTGAAGAGATGAGATATGACAAGAAGCAGTGGCAGAGAACAGTGGCAGCAGAGCCAGGAAACTGGCAAGAGATCAGCAGGAGATTGTCAGGAGACAGCAGCCAGATGCGTTTCCTGACCCGCTGAGAGAGCTGAGTGACTTTGGGCAGGAGGCTTGCTGGTGGTGTGAGGTGTCTCCAAGCACTTGTTGGAGCAAACTTTCCCAACCCATGGAATTGGAATTGAGTGCCTTTGGGCCGAGGTTTACTTGTGGAGTGGGTTGCCTTTGGACACTTATTGGCAGCTAAAAGAGCTTATAACACTTGCTTGAGCAGGGCAGAGCTGGACCAAGGGGAGACCTGCTTAAGGTTGAGAAGAGGTTGTCCTTCAAACAACTGTATCCTGAGAGTTCCTGAATCTGAATTGTAATCTGTTACTTCCCTAATAAACTCTATAACTGTGAATATGGTCTGTGAGTTCTTTGTGGCCATTGCAACAAACTATTAAATCTAGCAGAGAAGTAGAGAGTGCTGTGGGAGGGATGATTGGAGTCAAAATTGGTAAAAAGTTTGGCATGTGTAAGCATGTCTGACCTCTGCCTCATAGGAGTCAGCCTTGGGCATTTAATGCAAATAATAGTTCTCCTTCCCCCTCAGGAAGTTTGAGGTCAGATGCAGCCTCTGCCTCTCCACCATTTCTACAGAAGTGAAACAATTAGAACAAAAATTGCAAGAATGTTGACACACTGAATGTGAAGAATGTAACCAATGTTATTGACCATTATGTCTAAAAACTATGGAATGGGAGCTGGTTTTGCTGTATATATTTTCACCATAAATAAAATTAAATATTAAAAAACAAAATAAAATAATTTATAGGTAAAAATGAAACAATTAATTTAAAAAAAGAGAATGTACTAGATCTGGCATAATATAATCTGATATTGGAAAACTGTTTAAGAGACATTGTTACGAAAAAAAGAAAAAAGAAAAGCAAATTGAAAAAATTACTTATTTTAATAAAAAAGTTATTATTTTAACATTGAACAACTAATGGTAGCTATCTTGGGGATTTTAGGGGATTTTTACTTGTGAAATATTTAAATTATACAATGAACATGTATTTATTATTTTTTGTGATCAGAAAATGACACACTTAAAAAAGATACATTAAGAAAACCACAAAAAAATACTTCAATCCCATGAAACATGAGATAATTTTACCTAGAGAAAGAGGAATGTTATTCCTTATATGGGATAAAAGAATAGAATTTGAAAAGTTGAGCAAGGAGAAGGCAGGGTATCCTCGACTGAAAAAGGAGAAATGTGGTAATACATCAGCTTGTGACTCAAACCAGAAAACTGAGTCATTCCCACCTCCAGCTTTTCTCCCACCAGGCCCTTTGGATTCTACCTCCAAAATATATCTCAGATCTATATACATCTCTCTGACTGCTTAGCCACCATCCTCTATCCCACTAACATCATCCCTAACATGCACTACTACAATAGCCTTCAAACTGCTCTCCTTATTTTTATGCTTATCCTTCTCTAGTCCATTCTCCACGAGAGAGCCAGAGTAATATTTTAAAATATAAACCATATCTTTCCCTTGCCTGGTTAAAACACTGCAAGGTTTCTCATTGTACTATGAATGAAATCCAGTCCTCATGGCTTTGCATGGTCTGGCCCATCCTTGGCCTCATTGGGATTGCTCTTCCCCAATTCTCTGTATTTAGCTCCCTGATCTTTTTTCAGCTTCTGTATTAGTGGAAATAGTTCACCATATTAGAGTTATTCACCTATCTTGAGTCTTTCCTCTGCTGGGCCCTTTCTCCTTATTCTTCAGGTCTCAGCTTAAATGTCACCTAATGGAGACCTCTACAGACCACTGTCTTAGGCTGGGTTCTCTAGAGGAGAAAAACCAGTGAAATACATAGACACATACACATACACACACATGGGAGGGGAAGAGAGAGAGAGAAAGAGAGAGAGAGAAAGAGAGAGAGAGAGAAAGAAAGATTGAGGTTTATTTCAAGGAAATGTTCAAAAAGTTGTGGAAGCTGGCAAGTCCCAAATCCATGGGTCTGGCATCAGGCTGGAGGCTTCTCCTGACACACATAGTTGCAGGCACTGATGAACCAAAAATCAGCAGCTCAGACAGCAGGCTGCTGGCTCACATCTTCTGTATTACATTCCATCTGTTATCCATAAGTCCATCTGTTTGGTTACTTAAGAGAAAGTCATTATGCAAGTTTGGCATCTGAAGCATGGCTTGGTCTGGTGTAGACTGGAAAACTCAATTTAGATTAAATGCTGGAAATGATGTTACTCCTTAGGTTTGTGATATAGATTAGCAGGTTCAAAACTGAAGGACTGGAAAATTATCCCAGATATCTTGATTCTGTTGCCAGGCAGAAAACCAAGCTCCCTGCTTTTTTGTCCCGTGGGATCAGGAGAAGATAATTTCTGCATTCCTTCAAAGACCTTTCAACAATTTAGATGACATTGTCAAGGGCAGTTGCCCTGAAAGAAATGAGTTTCTAATGGGAAAAGGAGCTCTGGTAGTATAGTGGCTAAAGCACTTGACTGCTAACCAGAAGGCTGGCGGTTCAAACCCACCAGCCACTCCTCGGAAGGAAGGTTGGGCAATCCTACTTCCGTAGTGATACTGCCTCGGAAACCCAAGGAGGGGTCGCTATGAGTCGGGGCCGACTCGATGGCACATAACAACAACAACAACAACAATGGGAAAAAGAGGAAGATGAAGTGGGTTAATAGGAACTGGAGCCTCGGGCTGCTTGTCATGGCTATAGAGAGCATTTAAAGACAGAAAGTAGGGGTATTGATGGAATAAGGCAGGATTAAATTGAAAAATAGATTGGAAACTCAGTTATGTGCTTCCAACTTCTTGGATATGTTTTGTTGATATCCTAAGACTTTTTATATCTTGCTGATACTTGTATATCTGTAAAATAGCCCTCTTACTTTTATTTAGTTTTCAAAGTTATAGGTCTGGGAAGAGGGGTAAGAATGTAAGAACTTGGGGCAATCATGTGCTTACCTCTTTGGGTGCTTGAACAGTGGAGTAAATTGTAGCTGACTCATGGTTTTTCACAGGCTTTGGGATTTCCCTTTTCTGTAGAAATAATCATACCCATATCATTCACACAGAGAGAGACAAAGAAATACTCATGCACAGATATCTTCTTGGGAAGGCTTTGTGACAAGCAGGAAGGCATCCAAGTTCTTCAGGAGGAAGGTCAAGGAGTGTTTAGCAAAAGGAACAAAAAGTTAAAGTGCCACCTACTTTCAGACTTGTGCAGGTTTAGTAGCATTTCCTGAGCCCCAAACAGAAGCACAGCATCTTAGCAAGCCAGTGAGTCAGAGAGAGACACAAGAGCAGCCTTGTTGGCAGAGCATGTGAAGGAAAGGAACCATTCTTGTCCTACATCCAAGTCTATTCTCCTTCCTTCACTTCAAAGAACTAACCTGTATGCCAGATGGTTATTGCATTTTATATTTTGGCTCAGATCTTTACTGAGCAATAACTGGAGATATTACCTGCTCTATTTTGTCCCTCCAATTCTAGCTGCCTGGACATCATGTCATTGGGGTCTCCCCAGGCATGGGTAGAATAGAAAACCTGGCCTGACGACTAGCTCTACATAGAGTACTCAGTATGATAGTAACGAGAGAGGCCCCCACCCCTACATCCTCCAAAAAACCTGCTTATAGGTTTTGACGCTTTAAATTAATTAAGGAGTATTTAGAATATCATCAAGGCTTCAGAAACTGTCTCCAAAGTATAGTTTTGTAGCTTCTTGGTTTGATGGGAAGTAATTCATCTGGTTTTCAAGAGGAAATGGCAATAGAAATATCAGAACAAGTGAAATAACTACCTTCTTGTCCTCTCTCTTCAAGGGGCCTACTTTGCAAATGCTGATGAGGGCATGAGTAAGGGGAGATTTGTTTGAGAAACCGCAGATTCCTAGCTAGATGGTTGCTTTCATCAGTTGGAGAACACCAAATGTTTTTAGTTTATTTTTTAGAAGACATGGAGACTGAACCCCTGAGATGTATTGTGCTATTTAGAAATGTGCCACCTCCAGGTACTTTATTTCTAGGTGGTAGTGGGTTCCTGATGCTTGACTAAGGCCATCCTGTTATGTTGCTAGAAGAAAGAGGAGGATTGGGGTCTGCTGTAGCATTAATGTCTCCTAGGAGCTCTGGTAGCATAGTGGCTAATACGCTTGCCTGCTAACCAGACGGCTGGCGGTTCAAATCCACCAGCCACTCCTCGGAAGGAAGGTTGGGCAATCCTTCCGTAGTGATACTGCCTCAGAAACCCAAGGAGGGCAGATACCCAAGGAGGGGTCGCTATGAGTTGGGGCTGACTCGACGGCACATAAAAACAACAACAACTATGGAGGGGTTGCAAATTCTTGCTTCTCTTTCTCTTCTGCAGAAACTGATTCTGAGCTCCCCTAACTCCCCAATACCCGGGGTAAGAAGTCCCTACCACAGAACTGGCTCATTTGGAGACTCTCAGACTTAACTGAAGTATTTACTGAGCATCTTGTTAGGATTTGCATTAAGGCAGCTTGTAATTAAGCTGAAGGAACAAGACTTATTGATGCATTTGGCATTTGGGAACAGTGTAACATTCTCAAACCAAATGAAACCTAGCCCATTGCCATCAAGTAGATTCAGTCTCTTAGCAACCTTATAGGACAGAGTAGAACTGCCCCATAGTGTTTCCAAGACTGTAAATCTTTACAAAAGAAGACTGTCTCATCTTTCTCCCATGGAGTGGCTGGTGGGATCCAACAGCAGACTTGGTTAGCAGCTAAATGCCTTAGCTACTGTGCTGCCAGAGCTCCTTAGTATAAAGCAGGGTATGAGTAACAATTCCACAAGGGGTGAGAGCTGTAGGGGCTAGAATAATCATACATACCACTTTGCAGCCCCTGTCATTGCCCTCCTTTCGCCTTCCATCATGGCATTTGTCATTTGAATAAGTCAGATGATTGTGGAGGCCAGCTTGTGAATAATGACTGTAGAAATAATGGCAATGAAATATAAAGCTGGAGGAACTCACCTTGTTTGGGTGATTGACCTGAGCATACACCGTACTTCCTGGAGGCACTGAAGTGTATTCTGTGTTTTCCATGGTCTCTGTTGTTAACACAGGAAGGCAGAGTCAGTGGCAAAAGCACCCTGGGACCACACCTCCAAGGGCTTTGCCCCGCCCCAGGGGAATTTTCTGGTCTCAAAGTGACAGTTGTTTGAGGCCCTGCCCTTGTCCCCTTATGGTTCATTCATTTTGACAGTCTTTGGAGTTCTGGGATGAACCATAACCTTCGCAGGGATGTGATCTGTTTTGACTTCATCTCTTGGGAGGTGGTCTTGAGGTACCCTGAAGCTTTAGAATCTCTCTCAGGCTTCACATGTGGGCCAGGAAGCCCCTGGGACCAAATAGCACTGCTTCACAGGAGTCCTTGGGTGGTGCAAACAGTTAACGTGTTCGGCTGCTAACTGAAAGGATGGAGGTTTAAACCCATGTAGAAGTGTCTCAGGAGAAAGTCCTGGTGATCTACTTCCAAAAAACTCAACCATCAAAAACTCTATGGAGCACAGTTCTACCTTGACACATGGGATCACCAGTGAGTCAGAATTGACTCAACAGCAACTAGTTCCTAAATGCTAGAGGCATATCATTGGCTAACATAATATGGCCAGGCTATTTCACAAATATGATCTTTCTAAACTTTTCAAAGTCCCTTGAAGGCGAATTTGCTTATACTCATTTTAGAGATGAGGAATTGGAGGCTCAAAAAGTTCAGTTGGCTTATGCAAAGTCACGTAGGGTATAATAAAACAGGAACTTTAGTGCATATCTTCTTCTTTTTTAAATTTTTATTGTGATTTGGGTGAAAATTTACAGAGCAAATTCACTTTCCATACAGCAGTTCACATACACTTTGTCTCATGACATTGACTACAATTTACAATGCAACAGCTCCCCTCCCACTTCCTCCTGATAGTTACCTCTTCCCTGTGTACATCCCTCCACGTACTCCTGCCCCTGAGCTGTCTCCCTGTGCATAAACAGCCCTTCTTTCTCCCATGATTGTTCTCTCCAAGAAGTCTATCTACTTCAGGTAAACACTAAACTCATATGCCTGTCTTTTGTTTGGCTGGAAGTCACAGGTGTGGGTTCAATTCCAGACTTGAAGGGCAGCTAGGGGCCACAGTCTCAGGGGTTCCACCAGGCTCTATCGGACCAACAAACTTGGTCCCCCCCCTTTTTTTTTTCCTCCAAATGATTTTGAGTTTTGTTCCACATTTTTCTTCCTCTCTATCCAGGATCTCCTACATAGATCCCCCTCTAAATGGCTGACAGTGGTAGCCAGGCACCATCTAGTTCTTCTGGTCTCATAGTCGTATAGGCTGTGGATCGCATGGTATATCAGTTGCTAGGACTAATTGTTTCCATGAATCTTAGGTTTTCTTCATTCTTCTTTGCTCTGGAAGAGGAGAGACCCATCATTGCATCTAGACGGCAGCTTGCAAGCTTTTAAGATCCAGTCGCTACTTGCCAAAGTAGGAGGTGAAACAATGTTTTGTGTAGTATGTTAAGTGCATATCTTCTGAGTCCAAATCTCAGTCCCTTTCCTCCACACATGGCTTCCTATATCTCTTATTTATGGGATCAGATTTCAAAGCCAATCTGAGTGTGGAGCTTGTGTTTTTGCCTCTATATCACATCTTCTCTTTTGACTGTATGTATCCAATGCTCAAACTTTGGCTGAACAGTAGTGATAGAGTCAGGCAGTTTGATTTTGGACCTTTGATGATTTGAACTCTTCTCCTGTCCTGCATTTGCTAGATGATAGTGGACAGACTATGAGCCCTTTTACTGGCACTTAGACCCCTAGTGGCTCAGTGGTTAAAGCATTGAGCTGTTGCTAACTGACAGATTGGTTGTTTGAACCCACCAGTTGCTCTGCATGAAAAAAATGAAGCAATCTGCTTCTGTTCTGGTTACCTAGTGCTGCTCTACCTAGTGCTGCTCTGACAAGAAATATACCACAAATGGGATGACTTAAACAAACAGGAGTTTATTCTTACAATTTGGAGGCTTTAAGTCCAAGTTCAAAGTGCCAGGCTCTAGGGGCTGGGTGAAAGCCCCTCAACCTTGGGGTCCAGCTCTGCCTCCTGCTCCCGGCCCACTGGAGCTAGAGGCGTTTCTTCACTCAGACAGCTGCTGGCTGCTGAGGCTGGAAGCCCCAAGGTTGACAAGTAAAAAGGCACAGTCCTGATGTTACCAGACCACATGGCAGACCATTAGCTTAAGTCCATTGTAAGTCCAAGGTCAGCAGAACATGGCAGGCTGCTGAACAACGACATGGCTACATGCAAGGTCCAAGCATGCCAAAGGTTAGAGACCATTCTTAAAACTTCTCCTTATATACAGGGAGCAGATCACATCCCAAAGGCAGCTACTCCGCTGCTCCCAGTCTATTCCACCATGGAGTTGATTGATAGTCTCATCATGGGGAATAACTACTACCAGCTGCCCAGCCATTCACCAGGTCCAGCCAAGTTGATACACAAAACAAACTACCACAATTCCACCCCTTGTCAACTTGGCATCTTCAATGGGTAGTATCTGTACAGGTGTCCTCCACTGGGTGGCTCCAGTCCCCTAGTTCCTGAATGGTGACCTTACGCCTTGGCCTGGCGACCCTGTTCCTCTCCCTCTTGGGCATGGCAGCCCTGCCCCCTCACTCTTGGGCAGTGGCTATGGCTCCATCCCACTGACTCACATGAATGGGAAGCCCCACACTCCAGAACCAAGTTGGTGAAGGCCTGGCTCTTTGAAACCTAGGGGGCTGTGATCGTTCCACCCCCAAAGGCCATGGTCCTATCCTTAAGGCTGAGGCAGCTCTGCTTCCGTTTCCTTGGTCTCTCTGCTTCTGCCGATTAATGCCGAAGGCAACCCACTCTGCAGGAAATCTTCCTGCCTAAAAACACTCAGCTTTCTTGCTCCATGGGCCGGCCAAACCCATTACTCCATTTTATGCCAGTCTTCTCTACCAATTAATGCCCGAAGGCAACCCACTCCTCCAAGAAGCCATCTACCCAATGGCACCTGGCTTTCTTCTCTGTGGGCTGGTAAGGCTGTCGCTGTTTCATGCCGGTTCTCTCAGCTCTGCTCTTGCCGTCTCTCATGCTGGTCTCTGGGCTCTGCTCCTGCTGTCTCTCATCCCAGTCTCTTGCTGTCTGTCATGCCGCACGCCAGGGTCTCTCTGCCAGGGTCTCGGGTCAAGGATGCACTCCACTCCTGTTTCCACATTTTGGGTATCTATCAGAGCAGCACCCTACTCTCTCGGTACCACATTCTATTCTGGTTCCCTAGTGCCGCTCTGACAAGAAATATACCACAAATGGGATGGCCTTAACAAACAGGAGTTTATTCTTACAATTTGGAGGCTTTAAGTCCAAGTTCAAAGTGCCAGGCTCTAGGGGCTGGGTGAAAGCCCCTCAACTTTGGGGTCCAGCTCTGCCTCATGCTCCCAGCCCACTGGAGCTAGAGGCATTTCTTCACTCAAACTCACTGCTGGCTGCTGAGGCTGAGAAGCCCCAAGGTTGACAAGTAAAAAGGCACAGTCCCGATGTTACCAGACCACACGGCAGACCATTAGCTTAAGTCCATTGTAAGACCCAAGGTCGGCAGAACATGGCAGGCTGCTGAACAACGACACGGCTACATGCAGGATCCAAGCGTGCCAAAGGTTAGAGACTATTCTCAAAACTTCTCCTTATATACAGGAAGCAGATCACATCCCAAAGGCAGCTACTCAGCTGCTCCCAATAGAGTCTACCATGGAGTTGATTGACAGTCTCATCATGGAGAATAACTACGAGCTGCCCAGTCACTCAACCAGGCCCAGCCATGTTGACACATAAACTACCTACCACAGCTTCCATAAAGATTTACAACCTTGAAAGCCCTATGGGGCAGTTCTACACTGTTCTATGGGGTCCCTATGAGTCAGAATGGACTCAATAGCAATGGGTTTGTTTTTCAGTTGTTTAGTTTCTCCATCCACAGGGTGGGATTGACCTGAAACTCACTCTGAGAAACTACATAAGTGACTGGCTCACTGTGAGGAGCCCTGCAGGTCTCACAGGGGACCAATATGCAGTTGTAAGTCACCTCCCCTAACACTACGTATGTGGTCTGAGTAATGACATTGTGACCCTTCTTTATCTCATTCCTCAGCCCTCTGGCCAGCCCCCTTCCTCTTCCATTCAGCTTCTCCCATCCATTTTATGACTGGGAGTTAAGAGTTCAGAAACTCACCAGGACCTTGTGGAGTAGACAAATGAAGGATACCTGAAAAATAAAATCAGAAATTGAAATCTGTGATTGCAGTGAGAAAGAACTTCCCCCCCATTTTCCCCTTAGGTGTGTTTCTAGAGGATATGGTGGGAAAGGAGGCTCTTCCTGGGACCTGAAATGAAAGGGCAGGAAGGCCCTGAGGCTAAGTCCTGGATTTTCCAGTAGGATACCTCCATCAGGATATTAGCAGGTGTGTCATGGTGGTGTAGTGGTTAAGGCATTTGACTGCTAACCAAAAGGTCAGTGGTTTGAATCCGCTAGCTGCTCTGTGGAAGAAAGGTGAGGCAGTCTCCATCCATAAAGATTTACAGCCTTGGAAATCTAGTGGGGGTTGCTATGAGTCAGAATTGACTCGATGGCAGTGAATTTGGTTTTTGGTTTTGAGTGGTCATCCCAGTGGACTAGCCAACTCAGGGTTTGCATCCTCCCTTCACCTAGCCTCTAGAAGAGATCCTTGGGGGCAGAGGCCCTAGCCTGGGGATCCCTAGAACTTGGAGAAGAGGCTGTTAAGAATAAAGAAAACCTGCCTGCTCTTTTCCTCCAAACAAGCAACCACCCAAACAAGAAAATGATGAATATAATACATATCACAGGAACCGCAGTCTTAACCAATCTGATATCCACTGATGTGTTACTGAGTTCATCTGAAAAAAAAAAAAAAAAAAGGAAATGGAACTTGAAACACACAGAATGAGGCCCAGATGTTTTGCTCAGAGTCTCCACTGAGCCTTTTCTAGGCCACCTGTAGGGGCTGTGTGGGTTCATCTATACCGTGGGGCTCTGGGCAGGCTTTCTGGGGAGTGAGAATTCAGAGCAGGGCAGGGTGGGGCCCAATAGAGTCATGGGGATGAAGCAATCTTACTTTGTTGTGGTCTTTGCTCCTGGGCTCTAAGTGGACAGGGTTTAGAAGGACAGGGGGAGGGGCTGTGGTAGGGGAAGGAAGCAATGGAGAAGCCTCTCAGGGGCAGTGAGTGGCAGAGGTGTTGGTCTTCTCCTAGGAGCCTTTGCCTACCGCCCACTGGGACACTGTTTTAGGAATCACATAGGCATAGGGCATGAGGACACATCACACTGTATGCCTAGTCAAGGTTCTCAGAGAGGCTTGATGAAGACTGTTACCTTTACAGAGACTCTTGGCAGAGACAGAGGAGGATAATGTGCTGACAGGATTCTTAGCTATGCAGGTGTAGTTCTGTTCACTGCAATTCTTAGGCTCACAGGAGATGGTGAGATTTGGACCAATCTTTCCTATGGGCTGCCATATGAATAAGACATCATCATTTGGATTCTCCACATTGCAGGTCAGGTGGGCCACACAGGTCTTATTCTCAAATGATACAAAGATACTGGTAATGTTTAAGTTTGTCAGTCGTCCTGTGTACAGAAAAAGACCTAGATTAAGGACAAATGGTTTAGCTCCGCCCCCTATGAAAAATATCCTTCATCTCATTGTTTCTGTATTTCACTTAATAATCTGCTGTATATTACAGCCTATATACTCTGTAAATAACTGCTTGTGTTGCTTAATTGATGGTTAGCCTTGATGTTCCTCAAACATACCAGGTGCAGGCGAGCCTTGTTACCTGTGCTGAATGGTTCTTTCTCCAGTTATCAGCGTGGCTCAGTCTCTCAAATGTTGTCTTTTTTTTTTTTTTTTTAAATTTTTATTGTTATCTGGGTGAAAGTTTACAGAGCAAATTCATTTTCCATACAGCAGCTCACATATACTTTGTTTCATGACATTGACTGAAATTTCCCACAATGCAACAGCTCCCTTCCCACTTCCTCCCCATTGTTATCTCTTCCCTGTGTCCTTCCCTCCCATGCACACCTGCCCCCTGAGCTGTCTCCCTGTGTGTAAACAGCCCTTCTATTGTCCCATGATTGACCTTGCTAAGGAATGTATCTGCCTGATGTAAATGTTCAGCTCATATGCCTGTCTTTTGTTTGGCTGGAAGCCAAAGGAGTGGGTTCAATTCCAGACCTGAAGGGCAGCTAGGGGCCATAGTCTCAGGGGTTCTACCAGGCTCTGCCAGATCAGCAAACCTCGTCCTTTTTTTTTTTTTTTTTTTAAATGAGTGTGACTTTTGTTGCACATTGTTCTCGCACTCTATCCAGGATCTCCTACATAGATCCCCCTCTGAATGGTTGACAGTGGTAGCTGGGTGTCATCTAGTTCTTCTGGTCTCATAGTTGTATAGGCTGAGGATTGCATGGTGTACCAGTCCCTTGGCCTAATTGTTTCCACGTGTCTTTTGTTTTTTCATTCTTCTTTACTCTGGACGAGGAGGGACCCATTGTTGCATCTAGATGGCTGCTTGAAAGCTTTTAAGATCCCAGTCGCTACTTGCCAAAGCAGGATGTGGAACAATGTTTTTGTGTAGTATATTATGCCAATTGAGTTTGATGTTCCCTGAGACCATGGTCCCAAGCCCACAAGTCCAGCTACATGCTCCCTCTGGGTAGCTGACTGTGGCCAAGAAGTGACTACAAACTTGTTCCTTGTCAGCTTTACTATCTACCTGGAAATAAAATGTCATCTTTTCAATGAGCTCTGTTGTGATTATTCCATTTCAGGTTGATGTCCCCCTCACTCTGAATTCCTGATGTTCCTTACCTAGTTCTCAGTTTTCTTTTCCTTGTACCACTCATGAAGGAGATTTGGTGGCATAGTGGGTAAGACATTTGACTGCTAACCAGAAGGTCAGAGGTTCAAACCCACTAGCTGCTCCATGGGAGGAAGATGAAGAAATCTATTTCTGTAAAGATTTACAGGCTTGGAAACCCGGTGGAGGTCACTATGAGTTGGAACTGACTCTATCTATGGAAGTGAGTTTGGTTCTTTAGTTTTTATATCACTGATAGTTTTCTAACATATTTTACTATTTGTTATTATGTTTATTGTTTATTACCTCCCACCTACTCCCAACCCAGTATGTTAACTATATGAAGGCAATGATCTTTGTCCGTTTTATTCATTGTAGTCTCAATTGCCTGGAATAGTGCTTGTACATTATTTGTAGTCAACAAATAATATGAATAAAACTAACATGGCTTCAACATATTTCCCAGTGTTAGACTCTAGATAATCATGCTCAATTAATTGGTATTGGCCCATAAAATGAGATCTATTTGCAATCCTTCTTAGCCTGTCACATACAGAGAAAATCATTGGTCAATTAAAAACAAAACAAAACAAAGCTATGCAGTTTATAGCTTGAAATTCCTCTGCATTGTTGTAAAACAAGTTAGTGTAGCTTAAACATCTCTTTGTATGTACCTTTGAAGAAGGGATATTCCAGAAAACCAAAAACCAAACCCACTGCCATTGAGTCAGATCTGACTCATAGTGCGAACCTTCCTTGGGTGTCTGAGGTGATATCACTACGGAAGTAGATTGCCCAACCTTCCTTCTGGGGAGTGGCTGGTGGGTTTGAACCACCAGGCTTCTGGCTAGCAGTCAGATGCCTTAGGCTCTATGCCACCAGAAGCCCTGAAAAAAGATTGACATTGAACCTTGATATGCTCAATAATGGCAAAGGAGCAATGTCCAAACAAGTGTGATGGAGCCTGGTCAGGGGTCTATGCTGGGACTTTCCACTGGATATGTATCTCCTTTTTCCAGGACCCTAGCACTGTCTTGATGATTACTGGTACCCAAAACTGAATGGTAGCTCCCCAAAAGATAAATCCATGTCCTAAATGCCTGGAACCTGTACCTCATGTGGAAAAAGATCTTTGCTTGTTGTTGTTGTTAGGTGCTGTCAAGTCATCTCCAACTCATAGTGACCCTGTGCAGAGCAGAACAAAACACTGCCTGGTCCTGTGCCAGCCTTACGATCCTTGCTATACCGGAGCCCATCATTGCAGCCACTGTGTCAATCCATCTCATTAAGGGCTTTCCCCGCCTTTGTTGACCCTCTCTCTGCTTTACCAAGGATGATCTCCTTCTCCAGAAAATGGTTCCTTCTGACAACATGACCAAAGCAGGTGAAACGAAGTCTGGCCATTCTCGCTTCCAAGAATTCCAGCTGCACTTCATCCAGGACAGATTTGTTAGTCTTTTTAGCAGACCATGGTACTCTTAGCATTCTTCTCCAACACCACAACTCAAAAACATCAACTCTTCTTCACTCTTCCTTATTCATTGTTCAGCTCTCACATGCATAAGAGGCGACTGAAAATACCATGGCTTAGTCTTCAAGGAGACATCTTTGCTCTTCTTCACTTGAAAAGATCTTTTCCAGCAGATTTGCCCAATGCAATACATTGTCCCATGTCTTGAGTACTACTTCCATTGGTGTTGATTGTGGAACCAAGTAATATGAAGTCCTTGACAACTTCAATCTTTTCTCCTTTTATTGTGAAGCTGTTTATTGGACCAGTTGTGAGGATTTTTGTTTTATTTATATTGAAGTGAAAGTCTTTGCAGACGTACTTAAATTAAGGATTTTGAGATGAAGAAATAGCAGTGGAGTACCTGGGTGGGCCCTAACTCCAATGGAAAGTGTCCTTATAAGAGAAAGAGAGATTTGAGGCAGACAGAAGAGGAGACACAGAGCAGAGGAAGACTTCAGAGGTGGGAATTGGAATGATGTGATCACAGGAGCATTAAGGAACGCCAACAGCCATCAGAGCTGGAAGAGGCAAAGAATGAGTCTCCCTTAGATCCTCCAGAAGAGTGCAGCATTAATTTAGAGCTACTAGCTTTCAGAACTGTGAGAGAATAAGTTTCTGTTAAGTAACCCTAGGAAACTAATACAGAGGCCCTAGGGAGATTTAATAATGCCCCTCTTTGGTTGGAATCTCTTACTTGGTACTTCCCAAGAATTCCATTCCCATCACACTTACCTGTTCTGTGTCCTATTCTTGCAGGAACATGACTTTGACTAATCTAACGTGGTAAACCTGCCAATTATTCAGGGGATATTAAATGTAAATCTATAGTCTATTGATGGAAACATTTAATTTTAACAGCACTTTTTTTTTTGGGATTCTGTGTCTTACCTCGACTCTTGAGTGAATTTAGATAGTTTGGATTCTCTAGTGGCTAAGAATTTTAGAATCTAAGGAGCCTTTAAAATGCCACTCTTTGGAAGGAAAATTGGGCAATCTATTTTCCTAGTGATACCACCTTGGAAACTCAAGGAGGGGTCGCTATGAGTCAGATCGACTTGACGGCAGTGAGTTTGGTTTTTTGGTATCTGGTAATCAATTTGATGCTCACGTTTTTTGTACAGTGTCCTCTCTAAGTGATCATCCTGAAGCTGCCCATGGCATGTCAAATAGTACTGATTGCTAGACAGAGTTTTTAAATTGAGTCATAAGCTATCTCATTATACTTTTCACAGTTTTATGTTGAAGACATCTTCATTCTTTAATCTTAAAGATGTAGTTTTGACTAATGATCAACATGAGCCACTGTGATAGCTGGAGCTGTGTGTCAACTTAGCTGGACCCCAGATCTGTGTGGTTGTTCCCATGATGGGATCGGATGACTGTGTTCTGAGTGGCCAATCTGCCCAAGGGGAGTTTCCCTAGGGGTGTGGCCTGCTTCCAGGATATCCAGGGACATCCTGGGAAAAGAGACATTCTTTGAGGGATTGGAACCCTGTTGTGCTGACTACAAACTTCTGTGAGTGAGCAGCCCACCGCTTGGCCTGGAGATCTTGGATTCGTCTTTTGTTGGAGTCAACAACCAGTGTACTGCCTGCCAGCCTTGAATTTCTTGGCCCCCTGTGCTTGCTTGAGTTTCCTCCAGGGACTTTGGACTTGCCGGCTTCTATATGTTTGTGAGCCATTTTCCTAAGATAAATTTCTCTCTCTCTCTCTCTCTCTCTATATATATATATATACGCTTTGCTGGTTTTTGTGTTTCTCTAGAGAACCCAATCTAAAACAGCCACATAAGGAAAAATATTGTTAAAAATTAAATCACCTCAATAGAAAAGATGTTTTCTCTTTATCACCTCATCCTCACAGAGCACTTTCTAGATAGAACACTGTTTTGTACACTGACAGTCCTATCTGACTAGCCTTTGTGTAGAGTGAGGTATCATTACAGGGTCATTATGTGGGAAGCCTCTGAGGCCAGACTTTGTGGTTTCAAGTCCTGACTCTACCACGTAGTATCTCTGTGACTGCAGCCAAATTATTTAACCTTTCTGTATCTGAAGGGTGAGAATAGTGACCCCTCCTTGGGTTTCCGAGGAAGTGTCACTACAGAAGTAGATTGCCCAACCTTCCTTCCCTCCTTGAGTGGCTGGTGGGCTTGAACTGCCAGCCTTCTGGTTAGCAGTCAAATGCCTTAGGCACTATGCTACCAGAGCTCCTATGGAGCTGTAGTGAGGATTAAATGAAATACATATAATGCACATGATAAAAAATATCATAGATATTTTACTTCTATTACTTCTGCTACATTTCTGATTGAAAGTAACTGTTTTGTTGGGTGAAGTGATTCTGAGCTGGGGGAGTCACAAGACTTAGATTTTATTCTCAGTCACTAACTTGCTGTGCGATGTCATTGAGTTGCTTTATCAATGGACCTCAGACTTCCTCCAAATATCATACCCTTTACCTGCAGGCTATAATGCGTACTTGCAGTCACTTCAAATTAAAATATGCCATTTTTTTCCCCATTTGCACATAATTAAACCCAACATTTTGACTCACCAAAGATCCTCAGAGTGTAATAGTATACTGTTCTAGAAGTCTTTGAGGCCATTTGGGCACCGTACCATCCTGCATCTTCCATTGTCAGGTTGTTGAGCTGCAAGGAGCAAGACTGGGTAAATTTCAGTTGTCCTTTTCGTTTGGGGTCAGTCACATGGACTTGTGGGTTTCCTGTTTCACTTTGCTGTAAGAAGGTGATAGATGTTCCATTGTGAAGCCAGGTGATGGACTCAATCTTCTCTCTTTCAGGAAGCTCCAGGGGAAGGGTTACCGACTCTCCCAAAACCCCGTTCACCATCTGCGGCACTGAGCTGCTTTGTGACACTATGCTCCCTGTAAACACAGAAGGGAAACTGTTACAACTCCCCTGGAAACGCCTTTCTCCTGTCCTCTTTTCTCCTAACTTAGCCAACCTGTTGGAGCTCTGTGATCTGAAGCCCATAGATAAGATGGACAGAGAAAGGGTAAGGGTAAGTGTTGAAATGGACAATCTCAAAGGCTCCATCCTCAACAAAATGCCTGACACTCTTGGTTAACAGGCAATTGGTTTAAGTGATCCTGGCTCAGTCTACCTTCTCACATGACTGGCCACTATTGGACCATAGGCACAAACCAACCTCTGACTTCTCTGGCCATAGGGTAAAGGGGAACAAGGAACTACGTCAACTTTCTGGCACAAACCCCAAGGATGCAATTCTTTACTGATGAAGCCTAAGAAAAGTTCAACATTTACTTATTACCTACTATATGTCCAACATAGTAAGCTTGTGCAGGCTATAGGACAACTAACAGGTTTGTAGATTATATAGCTCTCTCTTATACATTGGTTGCATAGTGCCTAAGGCACTTGACTACTAACCAGAAGGCTGGTGGTT